TGTTTTTCTTTGCGCTTGTTTTTGTGAGTAGAGAGAACACAGATTTTTATGGTTTTGATATGCATTGAATGCAATATGTTATATTAAGTAAAGATCTATTTTGGAGTCCTAAAATACTACGAAGATGTTCATGTGTGCATATGGTTGGGGGGGTGTATACCTAGATCTTCAGTAGGGAAGGGAATATTGCATCAAAATAGATAAATTTCCAAATTTCACAATTGATCATTTTCAGGGAGCCTGGATGGCTCAGTCAGTTAGGCGTCCAACTTTGTCTCAGGTCATGATCTCACTGCTCATGAGCTCGAGCTCCGCATCAGGTTCTGTACTGACAGCTTGGAGCCTGGAGCCTACTTCAGATTCTGTCTCTGGCAGCCCCTCCCCTGGTTGCTTGGGTGCTTTCTCTCTCTCTCTCTCTCTCTCATACAAAATTGAAAAAATTTGCTGATTTTCTAGCAAACAAAAATGCTAGGGATACATAATGGGAATAATTTTCTGTACATTGTATTGAAGTTATATCTAAATCTCATGTATCTTAAGTTTGAGAATCTCCTCAGGCAAGTCCTGTCTTGTCTACCTAGCTGTTGATCATATAACATTCCATTTTCCTTGTTCCACTGTTGATGGGCTGTTGTTCATATAACTTGTTCAGGGAGTTTTTTAGAACAGTTTGCACAAAATGACGTGTTCAAAATTAATTGAAATATTTGAATGATAGTACAGTGAATATATCCAATTCCATATATACTTTAATTGCTACATTTCATTTCTTCTCATTTGGAGAAGAACACTAAGTAAGATTTCTTTAGTGAGTGGGGTGGTTCAGTTGGTTAAGGCTCTGACTCTTGATATCACCTCAAGCTGTGATCTGGTCTCGGTCCTGAGATCCAGCCCCTTGTTGGGCTCTGCTGAGCATGGAGCCTGTTACGTACTCTCTCTCTGCACACCCTCTCTCCCTCTTGTCACTTTCTCTCTGCACACATTCTCTCCCTCTGCTCTCTCAAAATAAGTAAATAAACATTTGAAAAAAAGATTTCTTTAGTTGATGTTCTTTTTTCCTTCTTGGAAGTGGCATGCATCATCCAAGTTATTCACTTTCCTGTAACAATTTGATTAGGTGAGAAATTAATATTCTAATGTAGATATTGGAGTTTGGATTTCCAAGATTTTTATATTTTTCCTTATATTCTATTTTTTTATTATTTGTTACATTTTCCTGTATTTTCCTAAGAAACTAATTTGTCATTTCATTCTTTCTCTGTGAACACTGTGCTTAATAACATTCCTTTAGCTAGAAATTAGATCATGCTCTTTTTAAAGAAGACATGGTTTATTTTATTTTTTTATTAAACATCTTTTAATGTTTATTTTTGAGAGAAAGAATGAGTGGGGAAGGGTCAGAGAGACAGGGAGACGCAGAATACAAAGCAGGCTCCAGGCTCTGAGCTGTCAGCACAGCTTGAACTCATAAACCGCAAGATCGTGATCTGAGCTGTAAATGACTGGGCCACCCAGGTGCCCCATTTTTATTCCTTTTTTGAAATTTGTAATTTTTATGTTTTATGTTTTATCCTCACTTACCTCTTGTAGTGGATCAGTTCTGTGGCATAAATGTGTTTCCATTCCTATGGTCACTTTGAAACCTGCTGTGAACCTTCTTTAAAGTTGCATCTGTGCAGTGGTCTGTGTGTTCCTCTTAGATGAATTCAAGGTCAGACAATCTGGGGTAAAACTCAGGCTCTACTATTGAAGTTTTGCCAAGAGTCTTTTGAAAGATGAAAAACCATTCTAGACTACTGTGGATTCATGGGTACATTCATGAAGAAGTGGTAGAATGGTATATAGTGTGTAGTAAATGTTCAAGAACTATTGTTGTTTCGGTTCTTGACCCTAGAAGGTGTAATTTCTACAGTAATCTTTAAGTTCATAGTCATTCACGATTTCTTCTTTTTTAATGTTTATTTTTGGAATCTAAAACTATGGCCCTTGAACCAAAGGTGTTTGGCATCACTTGTGAGAAATGAAACTCAGAACCCACCTACAAATCCAGACCAGAATATGAATTTTAACAAGATCGCCACCTTGTTCTCATAATTGTTAATGTTGGAGAAGAACAGGTGTGACTCATCTACGTGTTTCCGTCATTACTCTGTGTCTCTCCTTATGTTTGTGGTTCATTATTTTCATAGCTACGGATTTGTAGTGTGCTTTCAGTCAGGAAGTGTGCTGCTAACAACATGATCTCCATGTATTTTCAGGATCACCCTGAGTATGTGTCATTCTGTAACATCCATATAAACATTAGGGAAGACTTTGATCTTCCTGCCAAAAATGGCATCGGGATTTTCATGGAAATTGTATTACTTTCAATCTTAGGTTTTTGCTTATTCTGATCTCTATTTATTTTTGTCATTTCCTTTCTCTACTAAATCTCAACTCTGTTCTTTTTCTAGTTCCTTGTGGTGGATTATTTGAAATTTTTTTTTTTTTTAATTTTAATGTTTATTTTCAAGAGAGAGACACAGAGCACAGGCTGGGGAGGGATAGAAAAAGAGGAAGACACAGAATCTGAAGCAGGCTTCAAACCTCCCAGCTGTCAGCAGAGAGCCGGATGTGGGACTCAAACTCATGAACTGTGAGATAACAACCTGAGCTGAAGTTGGATGCTTAACTGACTGAACCCAAGCACCCCTGAAATTTTTTGTAATACAAGCCTTTATAACAAAAAAATTTGAAAATGGATTTTCTAGCAGGGAAAATTAACAGAAGTAAACAATACAAGTGATGGCCAAAAAATAAAATAACCTCAAAAATAAAGATTCTTTAGAGTTTTCTATTAGATCCTGTCATCTGTGAACAGATAGTTTTGCTTTTTATATGTGATTCCTTTTTTGTATATTTTCTTGCCTAACTGTTCTGACTAGAATATTCCAGTTACTGTGTCGAACGGAAGTGGTGATGTCACTTCCTTACCTTGTTTGCGGTCGCACAGGAGAAAATTTCAGTCTTGTATTTTTGAATATGTTAGATTTCAACTTGTACATTTGTGTTCCTTATTAGGTTGAGGTAGTTTCCTTCTGTTCCTACTATTGAGTGGTTTAAATCCTGAAACACTTTCCAGTATGCTCACATACTCTTGTTCTGCAACAATTAATATAGCATCAAGTCCTGTTTGTTCTTGATTTGATTAGTGCAGTCTTCTGTTTCTTGATTTCCATGAGTTGAAACACCTTTGAGTTTTAGGAAGAATTCCCACCTGATTATGTTATAAAATAGTAAAGTGTTCTTTTGATTCATTTTACTTTAGTTTATTGTGGACTTTGGGGCGCCTGGGTGGCTTAGTCGGTTAAGCGTCCGACTTTCGCTTGGGTCATGATCTCACGGTTCGTGGGTTCGAGCCCCGCGTCGGGCTCTGTGCTGACTGCCAGCTCAGAGCCTGGAGCCTGTTTCAGAGCCTGTCACTCCCTCTCTCTGACCCTCCCCTGCTCACGCTGTCTCTCTCTCTCTCCTAGAAATAAATAAAACATTAAAAAAAAAAAAAAATATTGTGGACTTTGTATTGAATATTCCTCCCAGGTAATATTTTGTAATTGTGTTTACTTGTAGTGTTTTCCTTTGGTTTTGATGATAACCGGGTAGTGTTTGTGTCACAGAGAGTGTTTTGGTAGTTTACCTTCTCTTCACTCCTTGGAAGTGTTGGAGGAGATTTTAAGCACTTTTTCATTAAATGTTTTCATGAATCATCTGACAGGATTTTTCATTATTGAAAGTTGTTAGAAATTTCTTGATCAGGCCTCCTGGGTGGCTCAGTCGGTAAAGTATCAGACTTCAGCTCAGGTCATGATCTCAAGGTTCCTGGGTTCGAGCCCTGCATCAGGATCTATGTTGGCAACATGGAGCCTGCTTGATGTTCTCTCTCAAAACCAATAAATAAATTTAAAAAAATTTCTTTATCAATCTAGTTAGCTGTTGGTAGGTTGAGATTTAAAAATATATATATGTTTGTTTATTTATTTCTCCATGATGTAGTCAGGTATGTTATACCTCTTGAAATTTATAATATTTTTTAACAAATTTTTTTTTTAATTTATTTTTAAAAAGACAGTGTGCACGTTGAGGAGGGACAGAGAGAGAGGGAGACAGAATCTCAAGCCGGCTGTACACTGTCAACATGGCGTCCATAATGGGGCTCAAACTCCTCAAACTGTGAGATCATGACCTGAGTTGAAACCAAGTCAGATGCTAAACTGACTGAGCCACCCAGGTCCCCCAGAAGTTAATTTAATTTTTTTTTTGTTTTTTTAGAGTGAGGGAGTGCAGAGATGGGATAGAGAGAGAGAGGGAGAGTATATTAAGCAGACTCCACACTCTTCAGAGAGCCCCAGGCGGGGCTCTGTCTCACAACCCTGAGATGTTGACCTGAGCCATTTTGGATGTTTAAGCAACTGAGCCACTCAGGCACCCCATATACATAGGTTCTTTTTGTATTTTGTTTTTGATACCTGTTTGTGGACATATATGGTCACATCTTATAATTGTCTTCATTTCTGTGCTATCAGCTATTATATGGCTGCTTGCACTTCTAATTTTAGTTGGTCTTCTTATCTGAGTTATAGGTCTGTCATTTTTGTTCATATTTTCTGAACAACTCCTTCTATTGATATTTTCTTCTTTCTGCTGTGTCCGATTTTGTTCATTTCTGGTTTATGTTTAGATTTCCTTCTGTTAATTTTGTTCCCAAATGGTACTTTTTGCCATATAGGAAAGTGACGCGTGCTACAGCGTGACGATATTCCAGAACGATCTATTAGGCTATGTGGTCAGCACATTACATGTAAATTTCTGTGTGATGGAAGAAGGAGGTTCTGACGATCCCTTCTCAACCATCTTGCTGAAGTTCTCTGATTGATTTTAATTCTGCATATTAGAAGTTGTCAGTATACTTACCTGACAGTAGTTGGCTAAATGATTTTACTTTTCTGTTATTTGATCTCTTTCAGCTGTATCTTCAAATGACACGCAGAGTTTGCTGCCAGTGCCCTGCATAGAATCTTGTTTTCAGAATGTGTCCCTGGGTAGATATAAACAGAGTGCCCTTGAGAATTTACACTTAATGATAGACTGGGACAATAATGGAGAGAGTGCTGAACATCCAAGATACGAAGGACATATCCAAACGGAGATAACTGCCCGTTATGAGAATCTCACTGCTCCAAATGGTGAAGAATATAAAACATTTTGGACGACATCCCTTTTTAAGTCCACTACGTCTGCAAAGCCTTGTGTTCCTGTAAGCAACAGTTCAAATCCCATGATCAAGGATACGTATATGCAGAACCCAGATTTGGAAAATCTGGAAAGTTACCTAGTCCAGGCTGAAAATAATTACTTGAACCATTTTGAAAATAGGTTTGCATTGACCTTTCAGTCCAATATTTCTGAAAATCAGACCTTTAAAAATGAAGAAAAAAGCGCTATGTGGTATCAGTTTGAGAGTTCCTTCACTGAGGAGTCAACCCTGCAAAATTACCAGAGCATTTTCAATGAGAATATAATTGCTCAATACAGTGAATCTGAGAAGATATTTATCCAGGGAGCAAATGTTAATAAACATCTGGTTACTCATTTTCCAGAGAACCATTTTGAATGTAATAAATGGGAAGTCTTTTATCAAGGCTCCAACCTTATTATACATAAGAGTATGCATATGGGAGAGAATCCTTATAAATATAATGAATGTGAGAAAGCTCTTAACCAGACCTCCAATGTTACTGATCATCCGAGGATTCATGTGGGAAAAATCCCATACAGACATAATAAATCTGGGAACATGTTTAGTCGATCATCAAGACTATATATACATAAGACAATTGGTGCTGGAGAGAAAAGTTACATTTGTAATGAATGTGGCAAGGTCTTTATCCACCACTCAAGCCTTACTCAGCATCACAGAATTCATACTGGAGAGAATCTTTACAAATGTAATGAATGTGGAAAACTCTTTACCAGGCACTCACATCTTACTGAACATCACAGAATCCATACTGGAGAAAAACCGTACAAATGTGAAGAATGTGGGATGGCCTTTACCCAGCATGCAACCCTTGTTGGTCATTACAGAGTTCATACAGGTGAAAAGCCTTACCAATGTAAAGAATGTGGCAAGACCTTTAAATGGCACTCAATTCTTAGTAAACATTACAGAACTCATACTGGAGAGAAACCTTACATATGTAAAGAGTGTGGCAAGGCCTTTAGGCAGCACACAACGCTTACTCACCATTACAGAACTCATACTGGAGAGAAACCTTACCAATGTAAAGAATGTGGCCAAGCCTTTATCCAGCACTCCAACCTTACTCAACATCACAGGATTCATACAGGAGAGAAACCTTACCAATGTAATGAATGTGGCCAGGCCTTTAACCATCATTCATATCTTACCCAACATCACAGAATTCATACAGGGGAGAAACCGTACCAATGTAAAGAATGTGGCCAGTCCTTTAACCAGCACTCTAACCTTACTCGACATCACAGAATTCATACTGGAGAGAAACCTTTCAAATGTAAAGAATGTGGCCAGGCCTTCAACCAGCATTCACACCTTAATCAACATCACAGAATCCATACTAGAGAGAAACCTTTCCAATGTAAAGAATGTGGCCAGGCCTTTAATAGACACTCAAACCTTACTCAACATCACAGAATTCATACAGGAGAGAAACCTTTCCAATGTAAAGAATGCGGCCAAGCCTTTAACAGGCACTCATACCTTACTCGGCATCATAGAGTCCATACTGGAGAGAAGCCTTACAAATGTAAAGTATGTGGCCAGGCCTTTAACAGGCACTCAAACCTTACTCGACATCACAGAATTCATACTGGAGAGAAACCTTACAAATGTGAAGAATGTGGCCACACCTTTATCCAGTATTCACACCTTATTCAACATCATAGAATACATACGTAAGAGAAAGCTTACCAATGTAAAGAATGTGGCAAGGTATTTAATCTCTGGTTAACCTTTACTCATTATCACAGAATTCACACTGGAGCAACCTTACAAATCTAAAGAATGTGGGAAAACTATTAAGGACTTCTTAGGCCTTACTCCACATCGGAGAATTCCTATTGGAGAGTAATCCACAAATGTAAAGAACATTGCCTGACCTTTAAGCAATGCTAAATCCTGACTCCTGAACAGAGAAGTTATACTGGAGAGGATTTTGCAAATATAAAGAATTTGGCAAGCTCTTTAACCAGAGGTCAAAGCCTCATTCAACATCACAGAATTCCTACTGGAGGAAAAATTTACAAATGTTAGGAACCTGATAAAACTTTGAGGACTGTTGAACCCTACTCAGCCTCACTGAGTTTATACTGAGGAGAAACATTACGAAGGTAAAGAATGTGGCAAGCCCGCCACTGAAACTCACAACTTGCTCAACATCACAGCTATCTTACAGTTTAGAAACCGTAACATGTAGAGAAAGTTGCAGTGCCTTTAACCGGAATCCAGTCTGTACTGAGTATCCCAAAATGCACACTAGATTCAAACCCTGAAAATGTAATCAATGAGCAAAGACCTTCATTTTAAATGTACATTTTAGTAAACACAGAGCACATAGAGGAAAGTAACTTGAAAGATATAAAAGATATAAATATTTAGGAAAATATTTAATTATCAAATATCAATAAATGTCACAGAAATCAAGTGAAAAGCATTGTCAGTCAACCTATTTAGACATTACATCAAAATACTCCTTACAAGTAATAATACAAAGTTAAATACTTAGATAAAATATATGCTAATAGGTTTCAAAAGCTTAAATGGATGGATTTTTGCATAGGTAGAATTAATTTCAATATTTTTTTTTCTTACATTGATCTCTGGTATTTGACTAGCAAATATTAATGTATTTCTACTCTCAAATCACAGAATTCATTCATTCCTACGGGATGCGTGAAAATATGTGGCTGATTGTTGATGCATCAAAGATATGAGATGTCCTTTTTCATTAGGTGGGACTCCTGCATACCTAAGTTTTCATGGGAGATGGACAGTATGCTGTACAATCTATGAAGGAAATCTAAGTGGAGATGCTGATTCTGGTTATCGTGAGATAGGTGTTCAGAACATCAATCTTCTCCGTTTATTCAAAGTAAAAAATTTCGGAAATACTGGTTTTTTTTGTTTTGTTTTGTTTTGTTTTACTAACTGGTGTTTTAAGGAAAAAGACCTGGCAGTCTAGTAAAATACTGGTGTATCTTCATCACAACTATAATTCGTTCGAAGTAGAGAATGTCAGTTGATGTGGTTGAAATTAAGAAATCCTCACTGATGTCAGAAAGAGGATTGCTAACGCTTCCCCCAAATGGCATTATGATTATAGGTACATATTTTTAAAGAATGACCTCAGGCCTGAAAATTATGGAAAGCACTATTTCCACATCATTATATCAGGAGACAAATGGCTTTTTAAATGCCTGTATTCTGTATTTGGAAGAAGGATTATAGAGTGGGTTTGGAATGCATTATTTAGTCTATGTATGAACTTAATATATTTTAGTTACTAAAACATGGTTTTTAACATGTTTGCATGGATGTGTAACGAATGAAGTGTTATCCCACGACTGTTAACCTATCATTTTATTTAATGTTGTAGGAAACTGGTATCTATCACGTATTTTTAATGCAGTGGAATAATATACCTAGAAATCCATTTTCTCTGGCTTTAAAGTTTAAATAATGTGTGATTATTTTTTCCCCTAGTTTCTCAATTGTATCATTTTCTCCTTTTTGGGACTAATGGGATAGTACTTGGATATATTACAGATGATATAGGGATATTATAGACTTTATCTCAAGGACTCCATGATGGTGCTACTTGGCAACCATTTTGTGTAGCCAGTAGTTTTACAGGGACTCGAACTAACACCGGCCCTTTCTCACTAGTATGGTCCCTAGTTTTAACACCCTGCAGAGTCACAAGTTCATGTAACTTTTTTTTTTTCATGTTCATTTATTTATTTTGAAAGAGAGAGAGCAGGTGAGGGGCAGAGAGAGGGAGACAAAATCCCAAGGAGGCTCTGCCAGCAGGGCAGAACCCAACCTGGACCAAACTCCCAAGCCTTAAGATCAGGATCTGAGTCACTTATCGGATTGAGCCACTCAAGGCGCCCCCTTGTGTATCTTTTGATGACTTCCCAGTCTCCCAACTTTCCCCTTTGTGTTCCTTAGAGAAGACTGCCAGAGAACTTACCTAAACCAATTTAAGCAGTGGCCTAATCCGGATTTAGCACAGGGACTTTAAAGCACTACACCATGGCCCCAAATAAAGGTAAGTGCCTCCAGTCATAATGGGGGGGCTGGGGGGCTGTTTTGATATTTACCTGAAGTTGGCATACACGTATGACAGTGCTGGTTGAGTAGTAGATAACCCGTAAGTAGGAGAAACATTCCAGTAGGAGTGATACAGCGCCAGGTAAGAGCTAGAAAACAGGATGAGGAATTGGCATTAATTCTGCATGTGGAGAAAAGACACCTGTCCTGAGTTACACAACTGACTCTGGATTTCGAGAAATAAAACTATTTGTTTTATTTCCTAGTTATCTCTAAATCTCCAGTTCTGTTTTTCCTCGTTTTTGTTTCCAGCTACATAGGCACCAAAAACATTCTTCTCTGCCTGTGTTGCAGCGAGAATGTCCTTGTTGAAATCCTAAATCCAGTTATACAGATGTGTTTGGCCAGTGGGATGCAGTATTCAGACATTTAGCACTGGGGTGTGAAATAAGAATATGAAGAAAACATGACCATGGCACCATCTTTAGAGAGATAAGACCTATGAAGTGAAAATGTGAGGAACTCTCAAATGTGGGAAGGGAACTGCAGCTGGCTCCCTTTACTCACCCAAAGTCAGACAGCTCTTGGTGGGGTCATCTCATGAGTAAATGTCATGAAGGTAAGGATTTTGGAAATGTTGAGTTTCTGAGGATTAAGGAATTCAATCTTTTATCTTCATGACTCAATTGAATTGTGTGTTACTGAAGAATAGGTCTTGTTGGGTGATGATTATGGTGATTGCCCAGACAGATCAGTGGCAGTGGATGCAGGAGGGATTAATGAGTGGTACACATGTGGCCTAGCTGTAAAATGTCACATATAAGAGTAGATTTTGGAGATGAAGAAGCCTTCTGGACACTCCGGATCAGCAAGGCGTGTGCTATGGTTGGTGTCCTCAAAGCATGAATATCCCAGGTATATAACCCCGTTTATGGTTAGATCCACTCTATGTGGGTGACATTTTAGGGAAGCTGATGTACTGCTGTGAGGAACCTTCCTGTCTTCAGTCAGCCCCATGAGGAATATAGTTCTGTGCTCTGATTCTTTCCAAGGCATAGTTTTTGGAGGAGAAGTTGGAGCATTAGTGGGCAGTGAGCATTGTTTCAAACAGTCCAGCACATGTGCTCACTGACTTAATGGACAGATAAGAAAGTTATGTACGTACACAACAGAATATGACTCAGCCACAAAAAGCAGTGAAATCTTGACATTTGCACTGACCTGGATGGATGTAGAGTATGGTGTAAGCGAAAAAGAAAGACAACTACAATGTGATTTCACTTGTGTGTAATAAAAGAAACAAGCAAATGGGGGGAAAAGAGGCAAATCAAAAAATAGACTAAACTATATGGAAGAAACTGATGGTTGCCGGAATAGTAGAGTGGGGGGTGGGGGGATGGGTTAAATAAGTGATGGGAATTATGGAGTGCACTTGTGTCGAGCACTGGGTGTTGTATGGAATTACACAATCACTTTTGTACACCTCAAACTAATATAGTGTATGTTAACTAACTGGAATTGAAATAAAACCTTTAAAAAATAATTGTGTTTTTTATAGATTTAAGCAAACGTTTTCTCTTAACTGATTTGCAGGAGTTTCACAAAACATACCTTGTAAACAAATTCAAACACTTTTATCTTTTCTCCTTACTTGATGCCTCCAGAATTCAGAAACTCGGGCTATTATCAATAGTTCATTTGTTCTCATATAAATGCCTCGTTTAATAACATTACTTGAAACCACAAAGCTAACTTTGAAAATACAGCTGAATCTTTGCCTCCTGAAATTTGTTTGATTAAAACTGACCTATTGTCAGAACTAAAGTGCTAGATCGATGACGTGAAAAATCTACCAGATCAAGTTTTACCATGTGAACGTACCACAGAAGTTTCAGACAGGGGAACTGAAGTGGTTTAGGACAACCTCCCTCACTCCTCCTCACTCTGCCTCCCTGCCCACAATGTGCCACTTTGTCTTGATAGTTAAGAGGTGGAGGCACTATGAACCTGTGGGCTCAAGAACTTTTTCCCCTCCCTTAACCATACAGAAGACTTGTATACATACATAAAGTTGTAGGGCTTTTCCCAGAGTAAGTTATTAACCAAGATAAGGTTTATCTGAGTGACCCATCTGTGAGGTAGGCCAAGCCTCTAATTACCAAATATGTGCTCTTAACACCCCGTGAAAGGCATTCCTTTCCTAGGGAGCTCCAGGCTCCTACCCCTTTTTCCTTACTTCAGGATGACGTTCCTACCTCATCTTGCCTGACAGTCTGGAATTTCCACATCTATGCGGATTCCCTGTAAATACACCTATTAAATTTGATCATCTTCTTATTAACCTGTCTCGGGTCAATTTGGTTCTTAGTCCGGCTAGAAGGCCCTTTGAGGCAACAAGAATTCTCCAGCAGAGGATTTGACTTTACTGCCACATTTCCTGGCATCCCATTTCACGTATAAGAACATGGCAGAGCGGTAGCAAGTACTTCCAGAGGAGTTCATTTTTTGAGCTCAGTTTTTGCCACAGTTTCAGAAGATTCTTTGTTTGCTGCATTGATACTGCCATGTTAGTGTTTTCTTTAAAAACTCCTGAGTAGAATTCAAAATCTGGATCCCGCTCGGTTTGTTTAGCTGAATAGATGGTTCTCTGCAGGTGGGTGCATGAGTACACATTATTTCAAGGGTCCTCGTTTAGGCCACTTGAGCATTAAAATCATCCTTAGTATAACTACATATTTGGATACTTGCAAGTATGTCATCCATGTGTGTTAAACATGAGTCTCACTAGGTTGTTGGAAGGTGATTCTCTATTCTTTCCCCTATTGTGACGGATCATTTTGATTCCTATTGAGTTAAATGCTCAGCACTACCTAAGGGGTTTGAGCTGTGAACAAATGTGCTAATTAGAGTGGTCTTGGCCCTGCAGGATCTTGCTCAGGGAGTTGGTTGATTGTATTTTGTGTCTTGGTTTCCTCTGCACTTAGCCTGCCTAAATTCAAAGTGCTCAGCATGTTAAGTGGCTGGTTCTTCTATGGTTCCCCTGAGAGCAACTAAATTATTTGTGTGGTGAATGCAAAACCCTGTGGGATGGCTGCTGGGAGCTGTCGACTCTGCCTCTGTCTAATGAGAAGAGCTAATGTCCTTTGTCTTGGGATTCCTTCAGAATCTCTACAGAATGCATCAAGCATTTACATTGGCAACATTGAAGAATTTTAATTTTAAAAAAAAAATTTAATGTTTATTTTTCAAAGAGAGAGCATGGTGGGGGAGGGGCAGAGAGAGAGAGGGAGACACAGAATCTGAATCAGGCTCCAGGCTCTGAGCTGTCAGCAGCGCCCGATGGGGGGCTTGAACTCCTGTACCGTGAGATCATGACCTGAGCCAATTTTGGACGCTTAACCAAATGAGCCACCCAGGCAGCACAAGAATTTTAAATTTCTAAGAGGAAGAGTCCTCTCTGCCACAGACCTGCAAGCTGTTCTTTCCTGACCCTACAGTGTTATTGTGGCCATGCAGTATTACAAAGGAAAATGGTCATCCTTTATTAGAGTCCTGACTGAGCACCAGCCTATCATGTAGCATGCAGCCTAGTGGGCTACGTGTGGGGAGCTAAATCAGAAAGAGTTCCCCATTGCCAACTAAGAAGCACAGACCAAGAACCACAAAGCCTCTCAGATTCTGAGACCAGAAGAGTACAAGTCTTCATCAAAATGAGTTTATGATGAGATAAGATAATGTAGTAGAAACTGTCCCTGGGGTCATCACCTGCTACATGTTTATCAAGAGAGATCTCCCCAGCCTGATGTCTTCTTTCTCTCACTGGACGATGAAAGCACCATAGTCGAGTCATTTTGCATCTTCCTTAATGGTCTTCTTAACGCTAAATTTTTGATGCGTAGTCTGTTTAAATCTTTTTCGTTCATTTCATGATGGTTCAATTCTAAATTTTATCTTGTACTTTTAAAATAGAACAATTACTTCTGACATGAAGTTTTGCTTACTACGTAAAAATTTGTAGGTTGAGGCCAAAACTTCCCAAACAAAGTTTTGGGAAGGTGACATTTCTGATGTGTCTATTTAAGGACAAATGTAAAAGGGCTACAAATATTGGAGTCCTAAAAAACCCCTTCCTTTATAAATGCATTATTTTTGCTCCTCCATATAATGGGATATAGCAAACTAAAAATTTGTATATATGCAGTATGTCAGAACTTCCTAGTAACTTCTCTTGAATCTATTTTTATTTTTAGAATTTTTTTTTTTAAATTTTTAATGTTTATTCTTCAGAGACAGAGACAGGGCATGAGCAGGGGACTGGAAGAGAGAGAGAGGGAGACAGAATCTGAAGCAGGCTCCAGGCTCAGAGCTGTCAGTGCAGAACCCAGTGCAGGGCTTGAAATCACCGACCACAAGATCATGACCTGAGCCAAACTTGGATGCTTAACTGATTGAGCCACACAAGCGCCCCATTATTTTTAGTTTTTTAAGTTTTTTTTTTTTTTTTTTTTAGAGCCGGAGGGAAGGGGCAGAGAGAATCTGATGCAAGGCTCCATCTCACAGCACCCTGAGGTTATGACCTGAGCTGAAATCAAGTCAGACTCAACCAACTGAACCACTCAGGCGCTCCATTTTTTTTTTTTAATGGTTTATTTATTTCTAGGAGACAGAGAG